TTTCCTTCACGATCTTTTACTGAGATACATTCTATTCCTGACTATCGTCATATACTACTTATGTGAATATAAGTGGCGCACACCAAACTACTACTACTACATTATTATCTACTTCTTTTTAAAAAACACTGTATCTATGGGAATAAAGTTATTTTTCTGCTCATCAATATTTTTATCCGTTTATCTTATAATATTCTTCTCTCTTTCTTAAAAAAAAACTTAATTTTCCGTATGAATTATACATAGACAACTTTATTAAATATTTATTTTGTCATTTTAATCAGAATGGGTTTTGTGGAGATTTTTTAGAAATTTCACTGGTTGAAATCATGAGTCAATTGAAGCTAGACCATTATGGAAAACCTGGAAGCACTGGACGGCCATTGTGAGATAGGAACTCACTGAAGACAATGGTGTACAGTGGTGCAACTTCGTGGATTGGTTGAAATTAGACAATAACACCATTGGATGCCGGCTCATTGGTCCAGTTGGTTAAGCGCCTGGTGCGAAACTGATAGGTCCTGGGTTCGAATCTTGTGGGGGACGGGATCGTGGATGCTCACTGCTGAGGAGCCCCATACTAGGACAAAACGGCCGTCTAGTGCCTCCAGGTTTTCCATGGTGGTCTAGCTTCAATTGACTTATGTCATTTTGTTCAAATTATTGATTGCATTGAATTGTTTTTAATGTACCTATATTTTTATGTTTTTTCGTTTTTTTTTTCTTTCTTTTTGTTTGTTTGCAAATCATGAACATTAGTTAGTTTCATTATAGACAACCGACTAAAGCATAACAAATAATAGTTAGTTTATTTATGGAATTATGGAATTACAATAATTTTGTCGGATTATTATATATATATATATATATATATATATAGGTCTGAATATCTACCCTTGGTTACTCATGACATTGACTTTTATTAAATATCACTATGGTTAACTTGTCAGTACTTATACCAAATAAATGTTTGCTATGTAGTTGCTTTGTAATGCTATAAAAGTGAAATGTTTTCCACTCTACTCATTATATATTTTTGATCATATTGAAAATTTTAATTTCGTATATATATATACTGAATAATGAAGATTTAAGTAGTCATTGATGTTCATAATAATGATCTGATCATGTTAATTGTTTCTTTGATTTACTTTTATTTTAGTAATCAATAAACATCTATTAGTAATGAGTAGATAAGGTTTATTTCTATAGTATACATTGTTATATCTTAAAAAAGAATGATTAAAGTATTCAGGTTATCAGCTAGTCTACAATAAATGTTTTTGGTGGAGTTTTGTTCTCTGAGCTGGATGGTTTGGTCTTGGAGCTTTCATCGTTCTTCTGAACGACATCATCACCACAAACTTCAGATAGAAGTGAAGTGTTCGAATTTCTCCATATGTGTTTCACAGCCGCAGTCAAAAATCAGGAAAATCATGCACAAATATAGGAACAAAAATCAAACCAATGGGAGACACAACCAAAACAAAGAAGTAAACAATGACAAAGTTTAGGTCAATAAGAACCAATCAACTTTGATGTGCGCAGAACAAGCTGTGAAAGACATATGGAGAAATTCGAACACTTCACTTCTATCTAAAGTTTGTGCTGATGATGTCGTTTAGAAGAACGATGAAAACTCACAACCAAACCATCCAGCTCAGAGAACAAAACTCCACCAAAATCATCCACCTGAGCTACAAATCTTCCCCACTATCTCACAATAAATGTTATTTATGAAATATTGATACTTCTAATATGTTACAGCCAAAAGGAATTTCAATAGATTGAATGATAAGAATCCACATGTGAATAGGGAAGATAAGACTTTTAGGATAATTTTATATTCCATACAGAAGTTCAAGATTGAAATAAAGTAACTCTATTTTTATAGTATTATGCAATAATCTTGGAACATAATTGAGTTAACAAACTAAAATCGATAACAGCCAGTTAGGAGTTATAATTTGTGAAGATGTCAATGATGTTAACAAATTAACCAGATAATCTGATCTTTTCTAGGCAAATACATAGAAAGTAATGAATTGAAAGTAAAATAGATATACACTTAAATATTTAATTTTCACTTTTAATGATGGCTGTCATTATTTACACTATGTAATGTCGAATGAATGCATAATTTGATGTGCTAAACAATGTGAATAAAATGCAGATAAATAGTTGACATATGATTCATAGGGTCTGATCCATTGAATATTGAAGTTTACGTTAAAAAGATTTTCTAATAAAAATTCAAATTGTGAAGTTTGAGACTGAAATTATATCGGAAAAGATCTCAGTAATCATTTATCAACTCTACTTTCCTTCGAAATCTATAGTATTTTACAATGTAGCACGAACTATATTTGACATCAAGGAAGCATTAAATCTACCTCAATAATTAGTGAATTTTGTTTAGTTTCTGACCAAATGAGAAGCGCATTAATAAATTTGAGTTGTAATTACTTAAAATTGACTAAATAATGATTTTAAATAATCATTCAACATGATTATCATTTTAGTAAATGATCTGTGTCCCTGATGTCACGGTTACGAATAAGGATTTGGATACGATAGTTAATGGAATAACGAATTTTGATCAATGAAATATATTTAATGATAGGATGGAATCGATTGATAACTCTTCATGAAATCGAATTGTCGAACAACTTTCTTTCCGTCTCCCTCCAATAAACCGATATCAGAAGTCACACGAGCTGCCTAGGTGAATATGTTTCTTCCATTCAGTAATACGGTATATTTATATACAAAACAAAATATAATTAGATGACATTTGAGATCAGTGGATATAAGTTTTGTTGATCAATCACTCACTAATTCAATTGTACACAAATAATATTTGATTATTCCACAAATGATGTTACTGTGAAGCAAAAATTATATCGATTATTAATTGATCTACCTAAAATAACCCACAATAATGCCAATTGTGAGACAATCACCCACCAATGAGAATAAATAATAATTGATTGTACTTAAAAATTCAAACCACTGGTTCCCAGCTTGGTGAATTATAGATTAAGTAGTCTTCATAAAATCCAAAGTTCCTGATTTCAATCCTTAATAGTTAAGTTCCATGCAAAGATCAAACAACTGTCCAATACCTCTGGGTTTTCATAATTGAAATTAAATTCAACAATTCCCATAATCCCATTTCAATTTTTTTATTTTTTATTTTAAAATGAAGAAAACTATTCAGTTTGTCGGGATATTCAGAAAAATATCCCCACAACTATTTTGTTAAGTCTAACGCTATTCTTGGACTTGAGATGGTATCATTTTCCTATTGGTCAATACTTATTTCATGTGTGATTTTCCTGGCCGCCAAATATTGTACAAATGTTATTTTCTATTTTATTGATACGTTGTGGTCTGCTTGATTGGTATATAAACAGAGTATGTTTGAAATATAACGATTCATGTAGCAGAGGTTGAGACTTGTATTCTGGACTTATCTAGCTAAGCTAGGCAGAAAGTAGGGTCAACCAGAACTCTAGACTGCTCGTATGTGTTTATGCGTCATTGATCCGATCGATAAGTCGCTGTCCTCTAATCTGCAGTCACAGTATAACACAGTTGTTGTTATTTATTTATTTATTTTTTTAATTAACACACCTTTATAACATAAACATTTCAAAAGTTTTCTTTTTTACTTTTTATTTTTGTTTTTTAAATATTTTATTGGTATCTAATTTTTGTTATTGTTGCTTGACAAGAAATTGTAAACATACACAATTACACAAAACACAATTCACACATAATAATAATGGTAATATTATGAAAAAAAAACATTATGGTATTGGCAAATAAAATTAGTTAGAAACAAAAAAGGAGGAACATATTTCCCGAAATTAATCGATTTTTACTCAGATATTATTGTGATGATGATGATTAATATTATGCAAATAATACACAAAAGAAAATTATACAATTCAATTTTCAATATTTAAAAAAATGTTTATTTTTTTTAATAATTTAAAGCAAATGACACATAAAATCATAAAAGAAAAAAAAGGAAAAAAATTTGGCATCAAATTTAGATAATAGAAAAAGCAGTGAAATGATAAATGGAGCAAATGAATGTTTTTTTCATTTCTTTTTTCCTTTTTTTTCTTTTCTTTTTCTTGGCATTGAACAGTAAAAGATAATATATATAATCGACAAGTTTTAAGCTTGTAGTATTGTTGTTTTTATTATTATTATTATTATAGGCTTCCCATGTATGATTAATTCATGAACTCAGTAAGTGTATATTGATATGAAAAATTGACAACGAAAAAAACAACAAATAAACAAACAAACGCTGACATACGTGAAACAAAAAAAGAGAAAAATACTTAAAAAAAAGAAATAAAGTGAAGAAAAGTATACAATAGTTATTATTGTCTCATCAAGTCTTTGCTCAAAAAAAAGGAAAAAAGAAAAAGAAATAAAACTTTAGTTTATTGATTATGAATTTTTAAGAAAACTTCTTTTGAATGTTTAGGAGAGGAAAGTTAATTTTTTTTTGTTATTTCATATCACAAATTACACCTTCTTGTTTGTTTTTTTTTAGTACAATACTTACACTGAAAAAAAAACAAGACACTAAATGTACAGAATCGCTTTATAAAACAAAATGGAATGTAAGCCATATTATTATGATGATAATGATTATCCAATGATGTAATCAGTTTTGAAATAAATAGTTACTTATTAGTATAATAATAAAAGCATAGTTTTATCAGAATTTTATTAAATTTTTAAAATGGAGAATTATTTATTCACTATGTGTTGTTAATAATTTGTTCATGTTGTGTGTGTGTAGTTTTTTCATCAATTCTGTTGCCATGGTAATTATTGACAGGATAAAACAATATAGAATATCACCGATATAAATTAATAAAAGAAAATGAAGCAAATTAATTATAAATCAAAAAAAAAATGTATAAAACATAGACATTTCATATTGTTTGCATAGGTAATTTTTTTTCTTTTTTCTCGAATGTAGTACATTATTATTTTAAGTGTTTGTTTACTTTTGTATGGTATTTGTGTATGTATATGTGTATAGAGATAAGATTTGATTAACATTTGATAACCACATCAGAAAGGAATAATAAATTGACAAAACAAATAAGATGATAATCATAAGATTCAAATTAATTTTACATGTACAATTTCATTCATATATTATTGCATGTAAAATATTCGTGAGACAACATTCCTGTTTTCCATTATTATTATTATTATTATTACTATTAGTAATAGTAATAGTAGCAGTAATGATAGTAGTAGTAATAGTACTAGTAGTAATTCATAATGTCCAATTCGAAATGCTTTCTACCCATGTTTATTATTGTATAAATTTACAATAAATAGATAATGTGTCTATAAAATAAAAGACAGTGGTGTGTTTTACGCAATGAAAAGTGATTAAAAATGAAATTCTAGTGGTGAAAAGAAGAAGAAAAAGAAGTGGAGAAAAAGACAAAACTTAAACAGCTGTTTCAATGATATTACACATTTATTATTGCATGGGTGTAATAATCTTTACGCTTAATCAACTTATATCGAGATAAGATGGGTAATACTTGTTTCATACATGGGAATCACGATCAGGATTTTTGTATTTGAACTGAATAATAATTTTTTTTTTAAAAAAACAACTTTGTGTTGATAACTGTTAAGAATAGAATTTGTTTAAATTGATCAATGGATTATTTTGTATAAGAATCTTTAATTGAATTATGAGTAAATGGTTTTTGTTGAAATGTACCTAATAGACTTTGATCCTTTGATTGTTTACCTAAAAATAAAACAATGAACAATCTATTAATAACATTGTAAAACTTATAATCTAATGTTACATAATGTTTAAGAATGGTAATAAATTTAAGATTGATTGATTGATTTATTGATTTTATTATGTGAACTGGAAAAGCTTTCCAAAAGTGATCAGTAATTATATGTTAGTTGAAGGGGATAGATAGAAACCATGAATGTCTATTTCATGTTAGCTTATATATATCAGGAATATTTAGTAAATTTGGACAATATTTTGTAGATGAAAACCACCATGTCGATTTACTTAAATTAGTAACTGTATTGTAATTTGATTGGTGAGGATTAACAACAATAATAAATAGACAGATATGATGAGATTGATTAATAAGATATCAACCAGTGTGAGTATCAAAATAATTCAATAGTATAGCTTAAGATAATAACACGTGATAGTATGAGTTTGAATAATACGATAAGTATCTATTATCTTGGATGATTTAAATGCACTAGTAAGAACATAACTCCAGATCTTTCTGACGATCATTTTCGATAAGATGGCATCGAGATTCAAGTAAACTACTTTGAGCTGTATGTATAATGAACAAAAGTTCTACTCAATAGTTCATAGTATTTGATGCAAAGTACAATTTCGCCATTTCATAGTTTGTTGCATATGATTTACATAAGAACACACACACAGCAGAGAATTATTATCATGATTCTAAAAGTGACTAAATGAGTTCTTTCTTAAGTTTTATTTGAAACCAATATCAATAGAAGCTGATATATTTAACAAAAAACTTGTGGTTAAAATAGAAAAATGAATTTTATGAAATAAAAAATGTTATATACTACTAATATGTCAAAGCTACATAAATAGTATCTAGTGTTCTTAATGCAATAAATATATCTTCTTATGAGGTAATTCTTTGCATAAAAAGCTTGTGACTTAAGGCTATATCGAGGCAATCCGCACAGGATGCACACATGCCAACATGAAACTGATCAATTGCAATCCTAAACAGCGATGGGAAAATACAAGTGAAACAACATCAAGTGAATTTAAACTTCACCCGATTGCACAAGCAGGTGGCTATCAGGACTCAGTAGCTAAATGGATAACGCGATGATGTTTGAAGTGAACGGTACTGGGTTCGAGTCCTGGAGTGAACATCAACTCTTTGAGATGCAGGTACATCCAACTGACGAGTCTCAAATAGGGCGAAACGCGCGTCCTGGATTCCACTGCTAGCCACTATCCATCTTTGCGTAAAAAGAGGCAAGGCTTTGTTTTAAATAGGTTCTGATAATATATGATCTGGATAATAAAGCTTCTCTTTTATAATTATTTTTCGGAATAACATATTTACACAGTGGGTTTTTTTTGCTTTTATTGCATTAAGCTGTTATGAATAACAAAACATATTGCATCTTTACTGCTCTGTTTGGTATTAAACAGTTTTTTTTCTTTATATTCAGTGTTCATTCATATGCCTAGGTTATTGGATACTCTGAGGGAATAACAGCTAAGTTTATCAAAGGAATATATTTAGTTAAATAAACATGTATATGATCTGATACAAATCTATTACGTTTTTGATTCTACCAGATGGTAGAGATAAGAGTAAACATCTAAGCAAATTAAAGAGAGAAAAAATATAGTTGATAAGCAATAGGATTTGTACAGAATGGTAAAACTATTATTGTTAATATAAATATCCCTGGGGAGAATATGATTACATTAAATAAACATTTAACATTTGTTCTCAATTTCCAGTGTAGATAAATGACACTTGCTTAAAAAACAAGAAATAAAGATCCATGTCAGTAAAACATATAATGTATCCTATCCCACTATTAATAATACTAGTTACATATGGCATATATTTCAGTTAGTTTACGTAGTAAATAAATCTAGATTTGTGAACACAAAGTTATGACTAGATTTATATATCTAGCAATGAAATTCGAAAAAAGACTTCAATTAACCTTCCTAACTTCGTTGTTTCATTAATGTAGAACACCTATTTCAATAACGTCAAATGTGTTCTATGTTTAAAATTTTCAGACAGCTAACTTAATATTATTGTAGGGTATGCTACTGATGTAGATGGATATAAGTAGTATGTATCACCATTCAAAATAGGAATGCCTAACAGCAGAAGACCAAAGAAAAGAGGACGAGAATAGCGAGTGATTGGTATAATAATGACGAAACAATTAACTCTGAGACAATCGATGGACATTTTATAAACCAAGTATTTACTATATAGTTCTAAGATTTTACTAAGAGATTCTGTAATGTTGAATTCAAATACATTTTGCTGCCCCCCCCCCAACATGTCTAATGAAAAAGAAGGCCTAACTACTCAACCAACTAGGTTGCATATGCTAATAAACATAGACATATCAGATATATTTTTCACATCAAATCAATATTAAAATAAATGACATTGTTAAGCAAATCAACCTTAGTTGTATGCACTAAGTATTTAATTTCATTAGTTACTTGTAGTATTAAAACATTCGCTAGTTAGAAAATGTATTTATTCCCTGAAGAAGCGAATTACAGTAAGTCACGACACATATATACATGTATACAGCAAATCTTCTTTACGCAACGAGTAAAGTATTACATTTGTCGCTAAATGATTGTAACCATAGTGATTAAGATTAGCCTACAACAGCCATATAAAGTTTATTCGAAGACAATTTTTTGTTAAAAATTAGTCGTTAACCAAATGGATCAGTAGCGAACGACAAGATTCTTCTATTTTCCTCAAAATAATTTTTTAACCCCCCCTGCCATATTACTTAATTTATATCCATGTGATTGGAAAAATAAAACATTCTGGGTTATTATTTTGTTTTACAGAAAAAAATAATTGATTATTTTATTATGCCGTGTAAGGAAAAAAGTACAACATGTTTCTTTCTGTTGTATAATTTAATGTTTTGTCTAAATTACGAAATCATAAAGGGGAAAAAATATTTTTTTGTTTTTTTCTTCAAATTTTTTTGGAGCATGGAAACATGTGGACACATATGTTATATAATTTAATTTCATTGAAATTTATTTCTTATTACTATAGTGAAAAAATATTGTGTTCTTATGATTGTACAATTGAGGTGACTAGAAAGTTTAGAATCATAATCAATTATCATCAATTCAGCTGATAATATGAAGTCATTAAATGCTTGGGTATAAAAGCCAGAACAATTGGATGTATTTAAAAGGATAAAATAAATATTATTAGGATATAAATATAGGACAGTTTGTTCATATGCTGTGATAGCTAAAATCCATTGAATATCTCATAAATTTAGAACATAATATCAGTCTGTCTCATATTTACAATGTCTGTAATTACTGTAATACACTACAGCCCCCAAAATGCCCTGGTACGGCCGAGGGTAGGGAGAGTTAGCTCTTCCTCTCGAAATGCTCTCAAATAGTCACATGTATACAGTTACTGACAGGAGAGTCCTACTCACTGCCTTCTCATAGCGGGTGTGTTGTTTACGAAATTGAGAGGACGAAAAGCAAATGCCGGGCGCTTTAGCTGGGTTGGTGGACACGGAAGGTTCACCTAGGGGAATCGGAAAACTCTGATTTCAAAACAATGGTGTACATGGGCTGCAGCATCCTGAGTGAACGAATGGCGTATGAACCAATTATTGGTCACCGACTATTATGGGACTGCATCTCCTGACATTGTTCCACTACCTTGTGGATCAGACCTTTAGGTCCCCTTTTAAGCCCGGTAAAAAAACCCACCTGCTTTGATTTGAGCATCCGTCAGTATCACAGCCGACAAAAAAATCAAGTGTCTTGTGTAGTGCATATGTATTAGGTGCCTTTTTGTATCAATATTTCTGTGTCCAAATAAATAAATAAGATTGCACTACAATACACTACGTATGATTTCAATTTTTTTATGTCAAGCAACTCACAATGCAAATCAAAGTTACAAGGTTATTGGAAAAAGTTTTTGAAAATATGATCGCAACATTAAAATTTTATAAGGCATCCGGGAAAAATAAGGTGCACTTACATGTGTTAATCCTTGGAAGACTAGGGAATACAAGACCGGTTGTCATATGACTTGAATTCTCTATAGAATATTTAAGTGTACTTGATCGAAAATTTTGACTTTTCTTTGACTGATGTACAGGGGTATCTAATGTAGTTTCATCTAAGTGTTTTTCATTTCCAGATGATAATGATGTTGTTGTTGGCAGTGTGTTAACTAGTTGAATTTGATTAGAATTCTCTTCATCACTAGCACCACGACCACTATCTGATCTTTGTTCTTCACCAATGATTGAATTATGAATTCGTGGATCTTTAACAATACATTCACTAATAACCGGAATATTTTGATTTGTGTAACTTGGACGCATTAAACTAGCTGGACCGAAATCAAATATCGTTGATGTATTATACAGTGAATTTGGCGATAATGAATCAGTTCTATTTTGTTGATAATAATATGTTGAAGGAGGTGGTGTTTTTGTGCACTGAATAACAACAAGATCTGATCTGAGATTAGGATCATTTGAAGATACTAAAGGATGTGAAGTAGTTGGGATTGTTGATGGTTGAAATGATGGACAGTAAGAATTAAAGTGTTGTGGTGAATATGTTGAACATCTTGAAGTTATATTATACGATGATATATTCGGTATTGTCTTATGACAGTCATTATTTGGATATTCCAAATGAAGATAACTCAGTTGTGGTTGCTGGGTCTATGAAATCAAACATATTTACATGAAGTTTAAAGCTTTGTTTTTCATAAACTTCTTAAATATGTTACTTATGAATAAATGAAATGTTAAAATGATATCACTTGTAATATTTACTCATATTTGATTCTATTTAGTTTGAACTATAACCAAAGTATAATCAAGTAATCATATTTGATTACAAGTGTAATTAACATATACTATCACTAGTCAAAATACTTGATTTAGAACAGACTAATTCATTTGTTTTCAGTTGAATTTGCTCTTAAACAATAGCAATAGAATGAAATTTAGATCTAAATTCATTTAAGAATGTTTATTTCCTGAAATGCTTATAAAAATTCATGTGTATTATTAAGAAATAATGAATAGATTCAAGATGGAACTCCTGGAGTTCAAATGAGAAGCTGTAACCAGTTGACTTCAACTATGTTTAGTGTGGAACAATCGATGAAGATCAAGCAAACTCGTGACTTGATTGGAGGTTTACATGTATAATATTTGGTTCTAGCTCAGTGATCTAGAGCATTCGTGCTTAAGATTAAAGGTTCAAGTTTCGATCACCTATGGCTGATTCGTAGATGTACACTACTGAGCAGTCGTGTACTAGGATGAAACGAACATCCATCTGTTTCATATTTTCATTGGTAGTCTAAGATCATTTCATGATCTGAATTATAAAAATTAAAATTCATTAGCTGTATGTATTCATTGCAGTTTTAGTTTGCCTAAATTAGACTTACTTGAGAAACCAATACTGATAATCTAGTGGTAGGAACTTGAATCATTTTTCATACAAGTCAATGTTTTGAAGTCATATGGAAGACAGGTTCATTTAAATAGTTTGAAATCTAAAGATCCATATTATTTTTACCATTTTTTCAACTTGTAATATACTGCATGTATCCAATACTAAGCACTTGTTCAATTTAAAACAATGTTCAACGTAATGAAAAATACAGCGAATAAAATTCTATGTATTCATGTATTAACATACATGAACTACTATACTTTTCATATCACTTTACAGTTTATTTTTTGAGATCCTGGATAATCAGTCCGTACTGCCAAACTAAATTCAGCAGTGGATGAATTGGACTCGGAAGAATCATCATACGTTGGGCTGAATACTCTTACCACACATATGAAAAGGTGACAGTAGCTCTAAGAAGTCTAGTCAGTAATGCATGCCTCTTCGGACAAGTAATAAAATCGCATACTCTAGTTGCATAAATATAGTTGAAAGTTATTTAAAGGATTTATTGGATTTATCCAAGTAAATTACACAATTTGTGAACATTGTACTTGTCTTATAAGACTATAAATCAACTGGAATTGGAATTCAAAACCAACAGCCTAGAAAAAGTAATTAAATAGGATTCAATAACTGTCCACTATTTCTTCATTTCCAATGGTTCTTCAGATGTTATTGTAGTGAGCAGAACACGGATGTGGACAATCAGATGTATTTAACACGGAATTACAGGACTTCATAATAAAATTTAACAATCATAAAGTAAATGCTTAATTTGCAAATGTCCACCAATTGTCTCAAAATGACCCAGACTTCATTGTTCTTGCATTTTCATACAAATCGCATCTTGTTTCCATTCTTTACTGTTCGATCCTCTTGTCTCTCTGCTTCCAGACCTTCTGTTTACAACTAACACCATATACTACTTATGTCAATATAAGTAGCACACACCACATTATCACATTATAATGAAAAACTCCAATTAATAATTATCTTTAAAAATAACTAAACACTAAAAAATATACTAAACTAATATTAACTCACTGTGCTTAGCATTACATTTACCGGTGATGAAGATTTTTGAGCATATAATGTTTTACCATTTGTTTGTATTTTGCCCAAATCTTGTTCTACACCATTCACATTGTTTATACATGTTGTTTGAATTGAAACAGTAGTTGATGAATTAACCTGATTATCATTATCATTATTATTAATGCTGAACATGTTATATGGTGGTAGGTAACAATTTTCCATGCTAGATACTGTTAATCCATCACTAGTAGTCATTGGTAATCCTTCATGATAATATTGACTAATGGATGGATACAATGGACCATATAAATGATCAATATTTCCTACAGATGTATAACTACTAGGTTGATGATGATTGCATAAATTGAAATCAGCACCATCATAATCACATATTATTGGATTAAATTCTTTATTTATACCAATATCAACAGCCATATTATGAGTATTAAGTGTTTTTGAAATATTCTTATTCAACTGATTGGAATTTCTTGATTTTTTACATGGTTTAATCATACATAATATAGCACTAATTAATAAAGCTGCTAAAAATGCTGATATTCCAGATAAGATAATTACAATTAGAATTGTATGTGCTTCAGTAATTGTATATTTTGAATTGAATATAGAAAAATCACGATTTTGTTCAATTTCAGGAAATAACCAATTACCACGAGCTGAACTTGCTTCAATAATTAATTGAATAGTCTTGATTGAATAGAGATAAATATAGAAGTTAAAAGAGAAAATAAAGATAGAAATTATCAATATTAGGGTTGTGGAGATTATTAAGTTTTTGATTGAAATCATAGATCGATTGATGTTAGACCATCATGGAAAACCTGGAAGCACTGAACAGCCGTTTCTTCTTATTGTGGGACTCATCAGCAGTATGCATCCACGATCCCTCTCGTGGGATTCAAACTCAGGGCCTTTGGTTTCACGCGTGAACGCTTCACCTCTAGGCGATTGGGCCGGCATCCAACGATGTTAATGTTTAACTTCAACCGATTCGAGAAATTGCGTGACCATCTTCCATTATATTGATTCATGCTGCTGAGGAGTCCTACAATAGGACGAAACGGCCGTCCAGTGCTTCCAGGTTTTCAATGGTGATCTAACATCCATCGACTCATGAACTCAATTAGAAGACAGAAATATGAAAATATACAAAACTACAAATTGTTTTGTGTCAAACTGTATATATGTAAAAGAAAATTTATTTACTAAGTGGAGTTGAATATATCTGAGCTGGTTTTAAAAAAGTTAAAACTTTGATTAAACTTTATATTTGGAATTGTTTTTACATAATTCGAAGGTTACAGTAATGCTGTGAATTGTAAAAACGGTTGAGATCTACCTGTATCTCGATAAGTATATTCTAAGACATCCCATATTAATACATAAAAATTGTCGCTGAATGTTTTGTTTCTCTGAGCGAAAAATAGACATTTTGAAAATAAGTAAGCAAGCTTAATTACAAATTATCATAAACACCATTATTATAGCTAGATTGTGGTTAACAGTGAATTTGAGGACGCATGTTTTGTTCTATTGAACATTCATCAGCTAGCTGTACTTACATTTCGGGACTAATGTTCTCACAATCTTGAAATTAATACTTATAGTTTCAACGACTCAACCACTATGGTATTCAGTCAAAATAACCACTGGTTTCCACAACCGGCATGAGTTTTATTGTTTAGAGTTTGGACGATTACAGTCTTTCAAAATTAACAAGGAGGATAGTGCACACCCTTAGAATTATCATATAAGTCATTGTTTATGTACATGGTGGCCTGCTTGAATATCTAGGCTACCTGTTCCTGTCATCTAGATATTTCAACAAGTTATCTTATCTTGTTTTAATACATCATTATGGCTATTAATCGCATAACCTATTCAGGTGCGTTCATGAAAAGTTACAATAGGATCACTCAGAAACATCGTGGTAGCTGGCAATATGCATCGAGAAGAATATACATTAATCAGATGTCTATTCCTGAACTGCTAACACATAACTAGTGATTACTCAATATGTTGTCGTCAAGATCGACCAAGACGTAAGAAACGGAAACACGCTAAAATACTTTGTGCTTAGAATTCTATATTGTACCAAAACTATAATATTGAATAAAGCTAATAATAACAATGTAAAATTTTGTGGAATGCTGGTCGGCGACCTATGCTCCATTAGGAGTAACAGGCGTAAGTAAGTAAGTAAGCAAGTAAAATTTTGTCGAAGAGTAGTAAATGTGAATTTTACGAAAAATTATTTTTCAACAATAATGTAAACTTCCCTTATAATCAATTACTTCTGAATTAATAGTTTATATTAGTCTGATGTTATTTTTCATTGGCGGTCGTTTTTAAACGAAAATCTGAAGTGGTGATTGTTATATTATTCTGTCTCACATGTATTAATGTATGGTTCAAACCGATTTCTAAATTTTGACTCTGGTGTTCCGGTTGAAAACTAATCATGATTGAGTAGGCCAAGAATTTAAAACAAACACTTGATTAGTATTGTTATGACCATGTGCTCACTTATAACTATTGCTGAATGATAATTCCTGTGGTTTTAGTGAGTGACCGCGTCTAGTGGAATTTAACAGTTTCAATTTTGAGGAAGTTATTCATCAACGGTACCAGGAGATGTTTGTATAGTATCGCAAATGTATTAAGTTTAAATATGCAAACCATTGTATCGTAGCTCAGTTGGCTGAGAGTTAAGATCAGATTTTCCTGAGCTAGATTCTTGAAGAAGTTAGAAATGCGCATTATTAAGAAGTTCCGTAGTAGAACATAATAGTTATTCAGTGTTTCCAAATGATCTAAGCATGATCATTTTTGTAAACTATTAAATTATCTAATCGTTAGCTAACAGATTAAAAATGTAATTCAGTTACAGAATCATGTCAAAATGAAAGTTTCAACACTTCAACAAAACGGTACACTGAATATGATTAATATTAATAAGTAGATAAATTGTTTTGATGATTAGTTGTTTTCTCTTTAGAACTATCTAAAGCTTTAAAGATACCATTATTTGCCCCAAAATGTACCAAGGTGGTCTATTGACATTCAAGATAGTTAGTCTTATCAAGAATGCTAAAATGGAAACTTAGGAATCGTCAATAATCTAAACTCTACTGTGTATTACAAATCAAATTCAGTGAACTTATTAGCCGGAAAAAAATTTTTCAAAAAACAAATTTCTAAAATTTAATCTTTTAATTATTCACCTTTTCGGCTCTTTGAACTGGTTCTCCATTATCTTCCACAGTTATTACCATTTCATATGAACCAAGTTCGTTTAAATTCAAACTTCTTGTTAACATAACACGACCACTTGGTTGATCCATTGTAAATGCATCAAGTACATTTTCATCTTTTAATCCTTGTTGAGTAATATATGAATATTGGCGTGTTATACCATAACGTAGTTGAGCATTTCTGCCTTCATCTTCATCAATTGCTCTAGCAACTAAAGCACAATAACCTGGTACTTCATTGTATGATACACGTACTACAGGATATTGTGAATAATTCACTTTGATTTCATTGTGTTTAATTGAATTGATTTGTGATATTGTAGAATAAGTTGTTTCTGATAATGTTTCATTCAATAATGTTTTATTAACATCAACTAAAATGTTGCGAAAAAATGAATGACAAGGATGAGTTATTTCTAGGAGAGCAAAACTTGGCTGAAGTATAGTTTTACACTTATCATCTTGATGGAGTTTTATTCTCTGAGCTAGATGGTCGAACAAAACTCCATTAAAATCATCCAACTGAGCTACAAACCTTCTACACTTATCATGTTACGAGCTGTCGTTCATCAATAATTCTTAACTGATCTAATCGTGTAAATAGGATAACATATGATGGATACTGTTTTTAGACTTTCACTTTCCTATAAATAAGTGTGGCTTTGTTTATCTCAAACGAATTAATAGTTTTTTTGTTGATAAAATTGTAAACTGATGTTGAAAATAGGATTGAATAATAAAGTTAAGCATTTCCAGATCAAACTTCCAGTAAGTATCTTATCTACCTGAAGTTTGTGCTGATAATGTCACTCAGAACGATAAAAGCTTCATGATCCAATGTTGATACTCACACTGAGAATTAAACCCTATACCATTCGGTCCAAACGCCACTGTGTTAACCTTTAGATTACAGAGTTCAGACAGCCACTAAACCATCATGAACGTATTAGTAAATGTTTGTTATTTCTCGTCCGTTATGTTCAGAATTACAGCCTATCAGTGAATGTTTCCATATGTGCTCCCTATGAACATCGATTCTGGGAAACAGGTACATCCAAATGATAAATCTTAAACAAGAACAAAAGTGCTTATTCTGGATTTTAATGCGCTAGCCTCATATCGACTATATCGTAAATTTTGACCAAATGCTACATTGAGGCAATCCACTGAGGATGAGCATTTGGCATCAGAGACTGATCCATTACGGTCGTGAATACTGACCTTGAGAAACCACAGCTCATCACTAACAGAAACAATCTATCCTATATTAATGTTATTTTATTAATTAACACTGATTAAATTAGATAGTTTTCTAAATATTTCCAAATAGATGAAATGTTAAATGTCTTAATTAATTGCTGGAAACCCTGAAATTCGGATTTCTTTTAACTGTTAACAAACAATCCGAGTAAAATGACTGAATTGTACCCAGTAATAAACATTTACTTTAATCGTATTTGAAATTCCTGTAGCATTTATCATCCAAATACTATCTAAACACTACTGTCTTCGCAATAAATGACATTAGATCTAATCGAATCTTCGCCTGGAGCCCCTCTGAGGTTACTGCCGGTTCCAACCCCGAATGAAGAAGGAGGGTTGGGCATAGGGTTAGCGACCCCATCCCGTAGAAAAATAACTCGCTAAAAAAATGCTAATCAGAAAAAAAATAATTCAAACTATTTAAACTCTACTCTAAGAGGTAGAAGATCTTCATTTAGAAGAGTTATAACGCTTCATGCTGAACACTGAGTTCCTTCTGGCAACCAGAATAATCATTAAAATTAATAAACACTTACTTTAATCATATATAAAATGTCCTATGACATTTATCATTCAAATACTAACTAAACACTATTATGCTTAAAATAAATGACATCAAATCTAATCACTTTTTTTCTTCATGTAGACCATCTAAATTGATCTTTTCAATCAATCCTTAAAAAAAGATACATATTCTAGTTCTATTATTTCATTTCAATTACCTTATACTATATAACATATATTTACATTGTATTATTCTAAGCAGAAATTATGTTTATACATTTAAGCAAATAGAACTATATACATATACATATATATACGTATATCATGGTGCTAAATGATAAATGGTAGAGATATTCTTTTGTTATTATTAATAAACAAATCCATTATTGTAACATTATCAATATGGTAATATAAATATAAAAAGTATATTAAAAGCATTGCTCTGATTATTATTATTATTAATTTGATGATTTTTCGGCATAATTAATTTTTATTATGTGATCATCTCATATTGTTGTTGTTGTTGTGATTGTTGAATATTTGGCGTAATTGTAAAACTGTCAACATTAGAGTAGTAGGAGTAGTCGTAGTCGTAGCATTAGTCGTAGTAATAGTAGTAGCAATAGTAATAGTAATAATAATAATAATAATAATAGTAGTAGTAGTAGTAGTTATATACGTTTGTAATTGAGTGAACCAAACTATACAATTATTGTAAACATTGTATTAGAGTAGCCGATAATAGTATAATTAGTATATTGTTAGGGAACTATTTAGAACATGTTATCATTATTACTATTTTATTACAATTATTTGATGTGAATATTAATTATAAGTAACGATAATTAAAGAATATGAATACTTGGATAAAATTGGTATATGGTAATATATATATTAAAGGTAGATTTAATATACCGTTTTACTGAATCCTAGTAACTTGGTTCATAACGAAAACGAATAACTATTAATAATCAAAGGAACTTGGATTGTTTGAAGAAATTCTGATAATAGTCATCATAATCATGCTCACTAACGACTGGATTCAAAAGGTATTTATTGGCGTTCTAGTGAGAAGCAGTGACCAGTGGAATTCAACATTGTCTGTTGCGAGGCAGTTATTCATTGAGGGCAATGGTGGATGTGTCACTCAATTTCGTGGATTGGTTGAAGTTGGACATTAACACCTTTGGCTGTCGGCTCAGTGGTCTAGACTGATAGGTCCTGTTTTTGAATCCCGCGAACAGAATCATGGATGCACACTGCTGAGGAGTCCTACAATAGAACTGAATAACCGTCTGATACTTCCAGATTTTCCATGGTAGACTAGCTTCAATTGACTCATGAGCCCAACTTTAAGATTACTATCATATCTACAAAACCCCCTTCTGATAAAGTGATTGTCCCTATTCATTGGTTTAGTGTTGCACAGATTGAAGTAGAAAAAATCAATTCTTATTTTGACCTTAATTAGACTTCAATCATCACTGTATGCTTATTTGTTTGGGAGTTTAGGAAAATGAGTTTTGCTACAAAATATTCTTTTTCATGACCAATAATTAATTAGAAAAGTGTTGAAAGCCATTGATAACATGGTAGTTATGTTATTAACATTTGGAATACCTTGATGTTGCCTACCCATAACTCTACACAATAAGCAACTTAGAAGAAGACGTTATTTTATATAAAACTAATCTTTACAAACTATTCAACCAAACAATAATAATATGTTTATTCCAGTGTGTCCCATATTTGGTCAATGATGTGTCCTAAATCGGTACAAAAGTAATCCAGAACGCAGTCTAGTTTTAACTTGTTCTACTAATCTTCGACCATTAAAATTGTTATTTTCAAATTTAGTCTCACACCAAAAACCACTCAGAAATACATCAACTCTCAGATGCAGGTACATCCAGCTGACGAGTCAAAAATAGGACGAAATGCACACCCTGGATTCCACTGCTAGCCACTATCCATCATTCGGAAATACATTTTTTTTCTCGAACATAATAATTTATTATTAATTAAACATCATTTTTGTTAAAATCAATCGTATGAGTTCATTTCGTTGTAGTTTACTAGATATAGAGTTTATCAGTTTACAAAATTGGATTAGACTATTCATGGATGTTTTAAATACAAATAAAGTGTAATTTGTAAAACTGTTAAACAACAATGAACAACTAATTAAGTTCTACAAACAATTTATTCTTGCTTACTTTGTTCAGCACCTTTAATTTCAACAAAATATGGTCTGTTATCATTCAAATCCAATACACGTACACAGATTGTGTCAGCTGTAGAATGTGATCTTTCTACACCTTTATCTGACACGACAACTTCGAAACAATATAATGACTAAATATAGAAATTGTGTTAAAAAAAAAACCAGAAAAAGTGAATATTAAAAATGCACATTGAATCATATTCAAATGATATGGAAAAAAGAAAAAAGAAATTGTTAGTTTCCTTCCCCCTCTAATTCACCTTAAAAGCAAGAACACGATCAGTTTTTTTTCCTTGTAAATGATTTGAAATGATGTCATTTGTATGTTTGACCTTTCAAAGTATTCACCTACTCGATTATACAGAATTGTAATGTTTTAACTTTAAAAAGTTGTCATGACAATATCTCAAATGAAAAGGTATGTTTATAAGTGACAAGCGAATTGATAAATTTGTACATTCTTCTCTTACCTTTAAGATGTAGGAAGTGTGAAAACTGAAATGCTAGAATATGTTAGAATAATAATATCGGTTTGGTGTCGACAATATCTAACCACTTAACATCTAAACATAGTACACGCAATGTTCACTTCTTTAGGCTAATGAGTAAATTGAAACTTGATCGAGAAAGTCTGATCGGTATTGAAGGACTAGACAGATATGATTTTGGTCACAACGTAGCGGTCGATTGACTGCAACTATGAAAGAATTTTTAGATTAATCTGTGAGTTATTGCCAAAAGATTGTTTGGTTATATATCAGTAGATTTTTACTTTAGAAATTTTTATTGAATTCTATTCAAATTCCCTCAGTACCATCGGTCATTAACTGTAGGTTCAGGAATACGCTGATGAGATTACCAAGTCATCAATAGCTATTATCGTAGCCAAAATATCAAGTTGATGATTTTGTTGGACGTGTTTTATAAATTGCTCAAGAATTTTTGTCATATCATCTACTATGTGTTTTGTTTGCCGATTAAACATAATTTATGGTAAGAAAATGTTTTCTGTACTAACTATAAGGGTTGATCTTTTTTTTTTCTTTTTACAGAAACATGTTTCTCCATCTTGGTTTTTGTGATAGAATGAAATTACTGACGATCATTTACAGTTACAACTCACTATCACAATGTACCTAATCAAATTTATACGCAATCGAATTCTTGTCAATGAAGTAAACACAAATTTTGACAGATAATATATTGTGTTAACAACAGTCTACCTAATTCCGTCATACTGAACATTCTGAAGACGGCTGAAGCAATGGCTATTCGGTTCAAAAATCCATAGCTTTGCATCCAAAAGAAATACGTTCAGCCGCTCAGTTTACTCTGGCCAACTTCGGGTCTAACTAGTTAATAATTAATTTTATAATATAGTGACGTAATTTGATTAATGTTCAGATTAGATTGTTATTGGAGGTAGTCAACAGGAAACCCTGGACCGGGATTTCGTGCTACTTAGCACTCGTCAGCAAGGTGTACCTGTAATCTTGAGGGAACTGGTGCTCCCTGGCGGAATCGATCTCGTGTCACCCAGTCAGGTTTCCTGTCGACTACCTCCAACCACCATCTAATCTCAATATATAGTGCCCGCAGTGTCGAGTCACCTAGACTGGTGGCCACATTGCAACATGATCGACAGCATTCGATTTGCACTAATAAGGACTAGACACGCATGACCCAGTGACCAATCAAATTTGATTAATGTTCATTTTTATATCCTAAACTTATCCACACATCTTACCATTGGCATTATTATTATTATTATTATTATTATTATTACTATTATTATTACACTTCCTAACCTTTTTGAGAAATTTATTCGGCATCCACCCCTATCTGTTAATTCTTGCTTAGTTCGTATTATTCACTATATTATTCAATATATTTCTGACATTGTTCTCTCTCTCACCCCATTTTAACCATATTTCTTCTGATCATTTATTACACAATTTCATTGTACTTATTAACTGATTCAAATTAACACTTCATATTAGTCATCCCAACATTAACGATTTCATTTGATTTGACATGACAAATAATCCTTGATTCACAATTGATTGATCACTGAATATTGATCAATATTATGTGTGTCAGGTCCTTCTTAGTACAGACTGAATGCTATCGACCAAGTTACAATGTGGCCACTAGTCTAATTGATTCGATATTGCATGCACTATGTTGAGATAAGATGGTGGTTCATATGTTACAATTTTAAATGATGTACTCTGCCTTAAACCTGGCCAATTTTATGGATTAATAATTTGAATATATATAATTGTAGAACCTGATGAGAAATTCATTGAAAAGAATATTCTTCGTCCATATAATTGTGTTTTAATATAATACTTGGAAAAACTTTGCAAATATATGTCAATTAATATGAAATATATTCAAATTGATATATTGGAAGATTTTGATGGAGTTTTGTACTCTGAGCTCAGAGAACTCCATCAAAATCATCCACCTGAGCTACGAATCTTCTCCACTATCTCATATTAGAAGATTGGTATACATGTACAAATCATTCATATCAAAACATAGTGATTATATATATAAACTATTAATAAACAATAGAAACATATAGTCTAATCCCATATGATCACTAAATGTTATATCATCATTTTTGAAATCAAACCATTGAAATTTTCTTCGAGATATGCTTTACTCATAATCTACTTATTCTGTTAGGCCCATAAGAATTTCCATTCAAATTTGGAATGATTGATTTCATTATGGTTAAACACTAACTATTCGAAAGTCTACAGAGTTTTTTGTGGGCCGATTGATAGCCGGAGCCCTAAGTAATTAAATTTTTCATCACATGTTACCAAATTTGACATTCATTTTGGAGTTGATGTTCATCCCGGGACTCCAACCTTATATCTTTTGCTCCAAACGTCAATACCTTAACCGCTCAGCTACTGAATCCAGATAACCAATATCTTGTGCAATGGGTTGAAGTTTTGGTTGATTTTTGAATTTTCTCATTGATGTTTAGGACTGAAACTGGCCAGTCACTTATTGTCAGGTACATCCAGTTGACGAGTTTAAAATAGGATGAAACGCAAATCCAGGACTCTACTGCTAGCCACCATTCCCTTTGCTTATAATGCTTGTGACATAAGGTAATATCGAGGAAATCGGTACGGAAAGCACATATGCCAATTAGAGATTGATCAATCGCAATCCTAAACATCGATGGGAAGACTCAAACAACCAGTAGAAAAGTAAATAGATTCAAGTTTTTGTTATTCTTATACAATTAGTGCACCAGCTATCACACAATCATTTTGTACGTTTTACTTATTAAGTTTATTTAAGTAATCTATTCCACTGTTATCACTGACTTATAAATAGTCTTGATTGGTTTGATAATTTCATATATCCATATAAATAATTCTGAATATTAGACTAACGCCTGACGAGGATCAAACTAAAAAGAATATTGTTCACTTATATATACAGTTCTAGTTTACACTATGATAAATTTTAGAAAATTATGTTTCAAGGACAGCTAATGATAAAGTGAAAAAAGCAGATATTTCAATAGACGTTTATACAATTACTTAATTACTGAGTAGTGACCAATGTCAAGCAGATCAGCTCCAAATAGCATGAAACCTAGGTCCATAATTTCTTGTTGATTACCTCCAAACATCACTTCATTTGACTTAAATATCAAATAAATAACTAGCTACATTGTACAAACTTATTTGTATAAGACCTATATAACGTAAATATTTGAAAAGGTATTTCCGTTATATGAACTGTGTTTAGGTTGTTCTAATTAAACATTTTTATTGAAATCATTATTCGAGTACACACTTACATAGGTCTGTGCTAACACTCCATGCTTAATAATTATGTCATAAATTAACAGTGTTTTGTAGTTCATGATTAAAAGTACTTATGATGATAGGTTAATGCTATTTGTAATGTAAGTGTATCAATTCGTTGTTCAATTTTCATGCCGCATAACTGTAAATCATCTTGAAGCTACATTTCACCTTGTTTTTTCTTAGTCAGATTACGAGTCAATCATATTACTTCTGCCAAGAAACTAGAATAAATCATATATATTCACTTGGTATTGTTTGGCTTGTATCTTCCAATTAGGTTTAAGACTGCAATTGATCAGTCTGCTATTGGCATATGTGCATGCTGTGCGTATGCCTCGATATTGCCTTAATTCACAAGCTTTTTGTAAGCAGTGATGGATAGTGGCTAGCAGTGGAATCCAGGACGCGCGTTTCGCCCTATTTGAGACTCGTCAGTTGGGTGTACCTGCATCTCAAAGAGTTGATGTTCACTCCAGGACTCGAACCCAGTACCGTTCACTTCAAACATCATCGCGTTATCCACTTAGCTACTGAGTCCTGATAGCCACTTGCTTGTATAGAGATTAAAACAACCACCCCCGCTCAAAATCCAGATAAATTACAAACTAGTAGCCTTCATGATGAAATCATGAATTATATAAGTCCAATTCTCATAACTAAATACTTACCTGTTTTTCTCTATCCAATGATTTTGTAGTAAATAAACTTCCATTTTTAAGTAGTTGAATTGGTACACTATTATGATGTATAATATTTTCATTAATCCTTTTTGTAGTTTGTTCAGTACTACTATTATTTTTTATTCTACCAGTTAATAATTTAAATATCACTTCACTATTATTTCCTTCATCTCTATCTATTACTTGTAAATCACCAATCCATGTATTCGGTGCTTGATTTTCTTCTACAGCAAATTGTCTTGGACCACGAAATTCAGGTGGATTATCATTTTCATCTAATATATGTATAAGTACTTGTGTTGTAGCTGTATGATAATTTTTATTATGATCAAGTGATCTTTGTAATCTAGTAGTATCTAATGCATCATATCCTCCATCAATTGCTAAAACAGTAAGCTAAGATGAAAGATATGAAAACCGGTCTTAGGAAAGTAATTTAATGAATATAAAATAAAATTAGATAATCTTTATGGCCAAAAATTATATATATATATCATGTCATAACATGATATGGCATTATGAAATCAGTAAAAACATTCATTTTGGCATAGATAAGCATAAAATTGAAATCATGAGTTAACTGAAGCTCGACCACCATAGAAAACCTGGGAGTACTAGACGGCTGTTTCGTCCTATCGTGGGAATCCCCAGTAGTGCGCACCCATGATCCCGCCTCGCGAGATTTGAAGGGAAGACCTATCAGTCTCGCGCGCAAATATTTAACCTCTAGACTACTGAAACGGCATGCAATGATGTGAATGTCTAACGTCAACTAATCTTTTCAGTGCTTTCAAGTTTTCCATGGTGGTCTAGCTTCAATTGATTCATGATCTCAACTATTAAAGTTACTAATAATATTCACAAAACCCCTTCTGATAATAATGTTATTTTATTCACTTGTAGTGTTTTATTATAAAATGTAAATTTCCATGCGCTGATGATGTGTATGCATGATTGTTTCCACTGTCTTTTGTTGAAATACATGAGGATGTGGTGGTCAGTTACAATATGGCGTGCATCCGATGAACAGGAAACTTTTTTCTCTCCACTTTTTTGAAAGAAAAAACCTTGCATAATCATAAAGTAGACTAGGGGCAAGTGATTAGAATTTTAAAAATGTTCTCATAAGAATATAGTAACTGAGTTTGTAACAAATTAAATTGATACGTTTATTAATTTACCAGTAAAATTGTTTAAATCATGAATTAGTATCGTCTAGAAAGTCATTAGCAAATAGAAAACATTGGACAGCACTTTCCTACAAGTTTACGACTTATTATCCAGTATGTGTCCATGTTTTAAATAGTAATAACATTAAAAACGATAGTTTCTTATGCTGTGTTAACTTTGTAATACGGAATTGTTTTCTATTTCTAAATTAAGTCGATTCATAAAATAGGGTGATCATCGATCATTGTCACCAAAGATGATTATCTTATACCTGATATTTTTAAAATAATATACTGATAATGGAATATAGATTACATTGGTTTATCGTCAGAGGATACACTCAATTTTACGAAATTCCACACCTCCCAACTAGGTAAATCAGTATTAAGTTATGGGGTTGCCTTCTCTTTTGAAGGTTGGACATAAAAAGATTGGTAATATACCTTTAAAAAATTAGAAATTTATTGAAATAGTTCCATAATTGTATTCACATCACAAAACATTCCGTTTTTTAAAGGCCTTAGACAGAAAACTGAAGGATCCATCAGGTTTCCTAGTTTTTAACATTATTTTATAAATCATACATATTTCAGACAAGTAATCGGTAAGTGATATACAACTGACACAAATCTTTGGACCTGTATTCCTATTCATGATCACAGCGCATATGAAATGTTGCGGGATCTCATAGTCCCTAAGAAATTTAGACTTCTCATCATTAGGTATAACAGTTAGACAAATTACTATCATTTTATTTTATCTAGAATCAATCTTCTGGTTGGCAGAGACATTTAACCGAAGAACTCACTGAACAATAAACCATACCCTTATTTCTTTCTGATTTATTATAAAATACATTTACAAGTACGTTACCAGGAGAATATTGATTTTCTGCAAATCGATCAAAAAATTTGTTGGAGAGTTTTACACAAACAGATCTGCTATCTCAGTTCACCTTCTATTTACAAATACTGCCGGAGTAACAATAAAAGATTTATTTTTTCTAGTACATTTGAAACCCTATTTTTACTCTCAATTCATGTGTTTATGATTTTATTTGTACTAAGGTGATTATATAACAGCTTACATTGAATGACATCGATTAGTGTGCTGTTAAAGATTACGAAAAAGAAGGCATCAGCTTGGAACCTATCAGAATTGTGAACTCACTTCATAAAACAATATCAAATTTAAGACATCTAGACCCAGCGTAAGCATGATATTTTTAGGCTACTAGTTTTATAATTTGTGATATTACAATTTATTCGTATCTGAAAACTTGAAATATTGTGTTTCATTTAAGCGGTCTAAAATGATTGAGCTTGGGGCGAAACCTGTAGCTATGAACAGGCTCCTGTATTGGTAATCTGGTACACATTGTTTTTAAGTTTTAAATCACAGGGAAACAGCTGTTTATTGCCCTTCGCCTTCGATCTTTCTCTATCTGACATCCGTTTGTAGGACAGATCATTATCGCATTTTTCATTTCTTTCCTTTAAACATTTAAGCAATTCGATTTTATTCAAAAAACCAAGAAAGATTTAGAAATATATAGGTCTTTAATCACTAGTCATCTAGTTTCTGAATGACAAGCTACAATTTACCGACAACTTGGCACTATGACTATTATCTATATTAGTTGTATTTTAGTTTTAAAAGAAAAAAGAACAAATATATCATTTAGTGGCCCGGGATCTGACTCCAGTGAGATTGTTTCTGACTGTTATTGAGATTTACATTTCGTCGATCCTCTTAAATTATCATCGACTTAGATCGCGTTAGTAAATAACGGAATTAAATAAGCCAAATAAAAGAATGGATTATGAATATGTATGTTTCATGCACTCATTGATTTGAACAAGCAATCAGAGAATGAAGCGAAGAAAAGATAGCGAAGTAAAATAACACTCAGTGCAGAAGGCATGTGAGCCAACTCCCTTTAACCAAGCGTCAATCAATATTTATAGTTACACATGTGATGAATGGGATTAGAAGAGCACACACATATGCGCTCATGTATAAAACAGTCAAGATGGATAAGCGAATAATTAACACGGTCAAAATGTGACTCAAGTAGAATGAATAGACTAACCTGTCCGAAAGCTAGAATAAGGTATATATGGGTTTAACATAATAACCGACACTACAATTACACAACATCTCTTTCTATGGGACTTGATGTGAGGATTGATAACGGTGGAGTAATAGTAAGCTATTGAATATATCTTCATCTTTTCCCTGCATAGCTTATAGAATAAATTTGTTGACTTTATTCTTTAGTTTTTCTTCTCTATTCTACTGTTCATTAATGTTAATAAACATTCTCATCATATTCGTTAGTTTTGTCATGCAACCGAAAGATGGATGAATTAATTAAATTATTGGTAAATATCAAAATAAATCATATTGCCTCTTTTAATTAATATTATCATTGATATTTATCTAAAATACAGTTGAATCTATGTAATATAAAAAAACTCCGTTTAAATAGGAATGCGTGTTTTGCTATTTGTTCGTTAAAAATTGTCATTATGTGATGTCGGATAAGAAATATAAGTAACCAAATAATATTTTTAATCGGAGATGGATTTTTGTTATTAGATGGTGGTTGGAGGTAGTCGACAGGAAACCCTGGACCCGGGTTTCGTTCTACATGGCACTCGTCAACAAGGTGTACCTGTAATCTTGAGGGAACTTGATAGATAGCATTCCATATGCAGTAAGAATGACTTGACACACATGACATTGATCACTACCCAGTGATCAATCAATTGTGATGGGTTTTTGTGGATATTAGAGTAGTTTTAATAATTAAATTCATAAGCTAGACCATCATGGAATACTTGAAAGCGCTGGATGACCGTTTCGTCCTAGTATGGGTTGCACAAGATCATAGATTGATTAAAATCAGATATTAACTCTACTGGATGCCTGCTCAATGATCTAGAGGTTGGGTGTTCGCACCGAGGCCGAAGATTCTGTGTTCCAGTTCACATGCAGGATCGTGGATGTGCACTACTGAAAAGTCCCATAATAGCACGAAGTGGCTGTCAAATTCTTCCAGGTTTTCCGTGGTAATCTAGCTTATATCGACTCGTGAATTTAACTGTTAAAATACTACAATCTCCACAAATACCCATACTAATAATAATATACATACAAAATATTTAATATTTAAACTAATTACCTAGTTCAAATCAATGCAGTAATTATCTAGGCCCAAGTGTTAGTCAAATTTTATCGATAATGTTACAATATGATCATTTGTCTAGAGAGCTTAGCATTGATATATATTCGGTTTCGTGTTTCTATGGGAGTAACATTAATTTCAGTGACCCAAGACATAGATTTATCGATCATCGGAATTTCTAATTTCTGTCAGTTGTAAGTAATATAAACGACCTTTTACGATTAAATATGTACATTTATAAAGTAAATATTCCAATATAATTTATCGGTTCCTCCATTCAAACTTCTCCTCACATAGTTTCTTTTCTTTTCTTCGTTTAGGACAATTTCGACAAATTTTATTTTTATAATCATAGAGGGGTTTCGTGGATATTATAGAAATTTAATTGTTGAATCATGAGTCAATTAAAGCTAGACCATCATGGAAAATCTGGAAGTACTGGATGTCCGATTCGTCCTAGCGTGGAACTCCTCAGCAGTGTGAATATATATATATATATATATATATATATTTCTTTGTTTCATTGTGTTATGTCCTTACTTTTTTTACATGTTTACTTTTCTACTCAACCAGTTACATGATATATTTTTTCTCCCTACTAGATGAACTTGCTTCCATGATCTGGTTTATGAATCACCAATAACGCTGATCGTTATTATTATCAAATTGAGAAGCGGTAACTCTTTTAGATCCTTTAAAATAACAGATAAGTAATGAATGCAATTATAAATTAAAACTTATATAACATAAATAACACAACCATATAAATTATAAACTAAATGAGACTGATGATGAGTCTTATATTAAAATCTATCTAAACTTAAAATATCTAAGTATCATGAGTTCGATTCCGTATCTAGTTATATTGTTAGTAATGGATTCATGTTAAGACATAATATCTGTCAGTTATTTTCTACACTTCAATCATTTTAAAACTGATGTCAGTTTAAGTATCCTTTAAGTGTTTGATAAAAATATAATATCAAATAGAATTACTGGTGAAACTATAATTTATGGACGACCTTTGAACAACGCC